TATGCATTTAAAAAATATATTTATTATATATTATCGAAGATATGGTTATGATTAGTAAGATAAACCCGGCCGAAGGCCTGTTAAAGGGGGTCTGGGAGGTATCGCCTCCCCCCCCCCAGGATTTTATATGTATGGACCCCCTCTAAGGAAAATTCCTAGCTACGCCACTGCTACATTCACATAGCAAATCCTTAAGGCTGTTTTATCTCTCGCAGCCCTTAAAATAAAAGTTAAACGTGAATCTTCAATAAGAATTTAATTACAACATCAACTATTTTCTAACAATAAATTTATATTCTAATCTTATTCGCCGAATTTTTAAATTATTATATCTTAACAAACTATTAGTTTAATATTAACCTTCGCAATTTATGTTTCTTTTTCTTTGTCATAGTTATTTCTAGTGATCAATTAATAATAATTCTAAAATCTAAAATATCAGTCTCTAAAAATTTCAAAATTCAAATTGTTTTTAGTTTACCAGTATCTTCTAAATATAAAATTCCTAATTATCACCTTTAAATAACTAAACACAAACTTCTTTATATCTTTACTATGAATGCTACCTTTATAATTCTTTGTTTTTAATTTTAGATTTTATATTTCTACAGTAACATAATCTTATCCAAATAATTTTTTTTTTCAACCTACATCTTTAAAAATAAATCTAAATCTTTTTTTATCCAATTTTTATTTTAAAATATAAAATTTCTTCTTTTTAGAATACTTCTCTAAATATTTTTCCTACTTTTAGTTACATATTTTTCTTACGTTCTTCTGGAATTTTTTTTTGTATTAGAATACAGTTTGACACGTCTCCTTGTCCCACCGTATATATTGATTTGCATTAGACTGAAAAGTTGTAATTGCCCTGTCGCCTCCTCTCTCCAACACCATGGTCACAATTGATAGATTTTGACATTGGGAATCAGAACCTAATAAAATATTAAAAAATATATTATATATACTAAAATCTGATTATTAATTAAATAAATAACTATAATCAAATACAAAGTTAACAATCATAATCAAAATAAATGATAAATAAAATTAATATAAGAAAAATGAAAGTAAAAAAGTAAAAAATTAAAATTTAAGTTAACAAATAAAAATAATTTTTCGCATAATAATTTCTCCATTATATATCCTTTTTCTTTAATCAACATTTACATAGTCTCCCAAGCGAAAAATAAAAAGTTCTACATCCCACTTGTTAAAACTCTTAAAGTATAAAAAAATCTACAATTATCACTCGTTTTTTTTTCATTTACATAGACGGGGATCTAAATAATAACTTAATAATTTTAATAAAACATTATTTTTGTTAACGATTTAAATAATGCATTTTTTTGTAACGCAAAAATGCAACAATTAATAGATTTAACTATTTATTATGAGAAAGAAAATACAATTATTAATGTCTATTCATTTATTATTGATTATATATAATTTTATAATTTTTATAAGTTATTCATATCATAAGAAAATGAACTCACTCCAATTAATAGACAATATGTCCAAAAATTTTACCTAAGCATTTGCAATTTACCTTGGCATTTGCAGTTTAGTCAAACATGTCCAAACACCTTTTTAAATAATAATATAATATGATTTTAAAATATACTAAAACAAAGAAAATTTGTAATTTTTTTTTCTTAAAATAATAATAGGCCAACTTGCGGATTTAATATTAATGAAATTTAAAATGAAATTATAATTATTTTTAATTTATTTATATTAAAGAATTTAAACTATTTATTATGAGATAAAAGAAAATACAACTATTAATAAATATTCATTTTTGCAAATACAATATTTTTATTTAAAAATAGTATAATATATAAATATTATGACTACGAGAAAAAATAAAACGTTACTTGAAATCCTTTACTATACTCAAATTACAATTTAAGGGAACTAACTCAAGACAGTTATTTTGTAACAACACGATATTTTTATTCTAAAATTTTTTAAATAATCAATTATTTATAATAAACGAATTATTTTATAATTTCAAAAAATAAAAAAATTTCCATCAGTTTTTTTACAAAAAAAATAATAATGAATCTTGGTAAAAAAAAAATATTACCAAAACCAAGTTGAAATGATTGAAATTTCAAATATAAAAAAAAAATAATATCTATTAATATAATTTATATAAATTATACATATTATAAGAAAATGAATCTTACTCCAATTAATAGAATATATATCGAAAATTTTTACCTAAGCATTTGCAGTTTACGTTGGCATTTGCAGTTTACCTTGGCATTTGCAGTTTACCTTAGCATTTGCAGTTTACCTTAGCATTTGCAGTTTAGTCAAACCCTTTAAATTATTTAAATAGCTCCTTAATATGATATAAAATTATTTACTTTATTGAAAATAAGCCTATAGCCAAAAGTCGGAAATGGCTATAAAATAAAAAAATTTCTTTTATTTACTTTCAATTTTTTTTGAAAGATGTATTTTATACTTCCTAATATTTGCACAAATTCAGAATGGGCCAACAGTTATTCTTTAAACATAAGTAGTATAGCTTAAATCCTATATTATACCAGATACATAGTAATTTATTTTAAAAAAAGTTGGCAATATACTAGAATAAAGCATTATAACTAAATTCTGATTATTTTGCGTTTTTATTTACCAGCAAAAATTCAGAAGTATATCAATTTAAATATAATGATATCTTATTTAAAAATTAATACTAAGCCTAAAACTCTTAAAAAAATATTAGAGCTAACCCGAACCGAAATTATATAAAAAATACACCAGGGCCGAGCCGTGTTTTACAGGTTTCTAATAGGTATAAAATTTTACCCTATCCTTGCGGAAGCTGAATTATTAAAGATACTTCTAAAATGTTTCCAGTTATATCGTATAGAAATAGAATTAAATATAGATACATCTAGCGATGCAGGATATCCCTATTTGAGCTGATTCTTAAAAATGGTTAACTAAATATTTTTTAGATAAAATACTGAGTTACGCATATTTAAAATTACTAGATACATCGTTTAAAAAAGTATCTATATACCGATACATTTACAAATGTATCTCAAAACAGATACTGTGCTAAAAAATTTATTGAGCTGATATCACATCTATATAGAAATATATAATTAAAATAATTAATTGTTATATTTTAATAATTCATATACAAATATATAATTTAATTTTTTTATCACATTAAAAAACGCGGTATCTTATCCAAAAAATTAGCTACAGATTTTAATTTTATTTCTAAAAACACAAAAATAAAAATTATTTTTTAATTAAGATTAAAATATTTCTCCTCTAGTTCATATCTCGAGTTCACACGACTTGAGTTCATAGCTCGAATTTTATAACTTAAGTTTAGGAACTTATTTTACCACTTGAGTCAGACAACATATTGTCCTTCGTGAGCGGGCTGGTTTTGTTAAAAAAAAATTAACAACAGGCATGAAAGAACATGTTTTTTTTGCAGCCGTAAATGGGCGGGAATAAAAAATTAAGCCACTAGGAATCCCCTTATAATTATGCGCGAATTTTATAAAATCACGTTAAATTCTTTGAGAGATTCAGAGAATGTTAATGTTAGTTTTTACAAAAAAAATAGGTAAAATATTAAAATATATAAATAACAACAAAACCTACGAATCCTCGATAATTATGCACTAATCTAAAAAAAATAAATATATAATCATGTTTAGCATATTTCCAAAAAATATTTTTGGCTAAACTACGTCTATTTAATAAGAAGCAAATAAAAAAAAATGAATTTAAGCTGATCTGAAGAATGTTAATTTAAATTAAAAAATACATAGTAAATTAAATAATCGTTTATTGGTAGAAAAAAATAAATTAAATTATGTTTAGCATCTTAAGGTTGGTTACAAGGAAATGAAAAATAAAGTTTCAAATGCACAGGAATATTTTAGAAAATTAAAAGATTTTTTTGACTAAGCTAATAATCCCTACGAAATATTACTTGAGATATATTAATTATTTTTTTTAAATAATAGATCATGTTTGACTTTCGGTAAAGTTCAGAAGCCTTAAAATTATCTATCTAATTACATATTTCAAATTTAGGTTAATAATTTAAAAAATATATCTTAAGAACCAGTTTAAACCTATTTATAACAGTTCACTTCCAGTTTAGAAAATTGTAACGGTTCGTTTCGTTGTTCGATTCGGTCCTGCGCCCTGAAGTTATTTTTTTATATAATTTTATAAACCTATTTTCAACAGATATTAGAATATTTGTAAATTTTACCCGAGTTAGCTTTGAATTTGACAAATTACCAGGAACCCGAAGTGAACCGGAATAAACTGCTAAACTTATATAAATATCTGAACCATAACTTAACCGATATAATTATTTTTGAAGGTCTCACGCCCATAAAACTGGCTAAAAAGATATGGAAGTTAATTTTAAATGGCAAGAATCATCTATCATTTTTGGTCTGGCAGTTTTCTGCTCGCATATAAAGACTAGCTTTATTATTAAATGTTATGAGCGTTAAAACATAGGAAAAAGAACCCATATCCGCATTAAACCAAAATTATATTTTACAGTTAAATTCAATTTTTACTTAATTGAAGCTTAATAGGTTTACAATTATGTTCATAGTAATAAGATCCATTTGTTTTATATAAATATTCTAAAGATGTAATATATCTCCATTATATCAAATGTATATGATGAATACAATTAAATATATTATTTAACTTCTATATTTTTTTATTATAAATTTATATAAACAAAATTATTTTCACATATCAATTGTTCAAATTCAATATCCATTTGCACTTGAAAACAGTGAGATATTCATTCATTCTTTTAAGCTATCTCATGATATAGTTTGTTATCATCTTGCTACCCATAATTATAATAAATTGTGGCATCTAAAATTAAATATGGTCGTTGTTTAACAAATTGCTATATGATGTCCACCTGTAATATCAATTCAAACAGTCGTTATTCGTACATTCATACATTCACACTTTTTTCAATGAGAGAACAAACCTGCAAAATACCTAATTTAAAAGATGAAATTATAGGAGAACAATATTTTTTTAAACCAAGAAAAATTAAAATAGACTGGAAAAAAATTGGTTATTCCTAAAAATTAATTTCTTACTAATTTTTTTAAAAAAAGCTTCTATTGATTTTGACACATTTTCGCCAGATAAGGATTTTGACAAAGTTCAACAAAATATTTTTAATATAACTTATTGTGATATTGAAAATGAATTTGTAAAATTTTTTTTTCTCATTTATAATTATTTATTTATTCATAGGGTACCACAAATTTGAATGTTAATTTTATTAAATTGTTCAAAATATCACAATACACTATTGAGTATCTCTTGGTATGAATTTTACATGATAATTGTAATAAATAAGCTTATATTTTCAATACTATATTAATTTATTTGCAAAATACATATTATTAAAAGCTCATTTTTTTAATATATAGATTTTATATATTACTTTACAGAACATTGAATTCTAATGATTATTAATAATTTTATAATTATATAGTTATTTTATAAATATATTAGCATTATAATAAACCTTTTTATGATTATTTAGTTTACCCAGGATAGACTATTAAAAAAAATAAATCTTATACATGAAAGATTTGAAGAATTATATAAAGTATATTTATTATTAAAAATTTTTTGAAATTTTTGATTATTAGAATGCCTTATATCAGAAAAAAACCTTAATATCAACTAAGGATAGGTTGTTTAATGCAAGAAGGGAAATAAAAAAGCAACAACAAATCATTAAATCATATAAAGAAATATTTGTATTATGTGGAATAAACAAAAAGGATATTAATGGATTAATTCATCAAGTAATTATTATAACTTTATTTTTTATATTATATTAATTCATTAAGTGCCCTTATTGTACAAAAGCATTTGTTTCTGATGATTTTTTAACATCTCATTTAGAAAGAAGGCATTTTAATAGGCATAGTAGCAAAATATTACCTAAGGAAATTAAAAAGGATAAACATGATTTTGGAATAGATGAATCAGAGGATGATAATATAAAGCTACTTAAAAATAAAGATAATTTGAATTCTAACCCTTCCATTAGTCCTCAGGTTTGCATAAATATAATGCAAGACTATAAATCCTATATAAATTTATTTAACAGGATAAATCTATGACTTCCCTAAAAGATATTAGAGTTTCGGAGGAAAATACTTTAAATGCTATAAATCAACTGTGCCAATTACAGGAAGTCAAATATTTGAAGGAAATGAAATATTTTAAAGACAACTTGAATCTCCAAATGAAATATGTAGCCGACAATGTCATTGATCTAGTACAGGACAAATTAACTACAAAGAGTTTTATACCAAATGAAAATTATCAGGGTAGCCTTACAACAACCTTTAATCCCAATAAAAGCCCTAAAAACAATAAATCTATATTATCTACCCAGTTTTCTAAAAGACATTCCTTAAAATCTAATAAATCATTGAAAGATCTTAATATACAAAATATAGGAGATATCAAAGATAGAGAAAATACAGGTTAGAAATATAAATCATTATTATAAATTTTATGTTTGGATTAATCTATGAAATTTTTGTCTTAAAAATATATGAATTGAAAATTTAATTTAAAGTTTATTTATTTTTTTAAATAATAATTTGAACACCAAACTGACAATTTATTATTAGACTTATAAATCTAATATAAAAGAGAAGTAATATTAATTATTTGTATACCAGCCCCACCCAGTGAACAAATTTAATTAATTTTAATTCTAACAGCTAAAATGATAAAGATAGCTTCAAAGGACATGGATATCAACAATGAAATTCAGCTGGATGCATTAAAACCTGATGTGATATTTAGAGGAGATAAAAAAGAAAGCATTACCAATGCTAAGTGAATAATTTTTCAACTATATATAACCTAATATAATTGATACATGTCAAGCTTAATTTAATCATAATTAATATTATGCCTTTGTGATATGCACTAATTTATATAGCAATTCCAGTTTTGGGCCAATCAAAAAAAATAATATCACAATGTGATTTCCCCAGCTTAATCCTATTTATTATACCCATTTTATTTTATCATTAATTTTTTTAAAAAGTTCAAAAAATTATTTTTAAAAAAAATTTTAATCTGATTTTATATGATCAAAGTCTTAAACATTAAGATTTATGAATGGGATTTTTATATACTCTTATTTGTGGGATTCTTTATTCATATTAAAGAGGAATTCTTATTTTTTTTTAAATTACATCAAAAAATTAAAGTCTAAACATTTTACAAATATAAAAAAATCAAATATTTACAATTTAAAAAAAAATCATTCTAAAATAAGTCCTGTAAACATAGTTATGGATGATGCATAAAACATGTTGAGAATGAGAAATACCATTAGTATTCATTTCATTTAGGAATATTTTAACTCATAGAAATGGTTAAAGTATACTGTCGAACAATGACTGACACACATGGCATGAATATTTAAATATTATTCTTCTTAAATTAATTTATTATATAAACTCTAAAAAGAATTTTTCGTGAATAATGTTAAAACTTTAAAATCATATTTATAAAAATTTCAAAAATTTATCGATTTTAAAATAATATTATTTAATTAATTAATAGCTAAATATCTATAAGCGTTTATCTGACGATTTTTGGTTTATACAAATTCAGTAATAAGATATGCAATTTGAAAAATTATAGTAAACTAATAATTATATTTATTAGTGAAAAATATCTGCTAGATTAGTTAATATATTTTTAATTTTGCATTTTATCAATATAAAAAGAATTATATAGAATTATCCCGAAAATAAAAGTATCCTCAGTTTAGTTAAAAATATTAAAATATTCTATTTTTTAAAATAATATTATAGATACAGGGTATATTTACAGCTATTTTTAATATAAAAAAAAATGTCGAATACGTTAATCTAAAATAATTTTTAGGTATATAACGACGTAAATAAATATTTACGTTTTTTTATAGTAGGTATTTTAAAATGGCTATAGTTTGAATGGCAACTTTATTAGAGAGAGAAATATATATTTTAAAATAATTAGGGGGAAAAGTGATTAGAACCTTTATTATAATAAGCTGAACTTTTCTTTTATTAATATATCAATTTAATATATTTACTTACCGCTAAACTTTTATTAATATATTCTTTATTGTAAATGCGAAGACAAGTCAAAAGAAATAATATATTTTTTAAAATAATAAAATAATGATCCTTTTTACCTTTTTTTTTTTATCTCTTTTTATATTTAACTTAATAATCGAAAATATATTATATCGCAGATAAATATAAATAATAAAAAATCTATATAAAAATATTAGTTATTAATATTCAGTAATTCCAAAATATGAGAAATTTACTCACGATAATACAAAAAAAACATGACAACCTTATCTATACAAAATTGATATTAATATTCATATATTTTATTTATATTTTTATATATTTAGCATATATATATAGAATATTTATAATATTTATACATTAGATTATAATATTTCGCAAATAACAATTTCTAATAAATATTATAGGTAAAAATTTTCGGATTGATGTTTTGGGAGAAGATAAGTTATTTAATTATGACCTTTTATAAGTTAGCATCTACAATATTATCTTAAAAAAATTAGAATATTTTAATATTTTTTAAAAATGACTAAACTGAGATTTATTTTCGATATAATTATTAAAAAAATGGTAGGAACCTCAGATTTTTTACATTTTATAATAATATAAGTTAGTATCCACAAAATTCGTGTAAAAATAAATACTTTTAATATTCCAAAAATCTAAAAGATAGAAAAGATGAAACGGAGAATGGACTTTTATTTTCGGCGTAAAGAAATGATGGAAATCTCTAATTTTTTTCCGCTTTAAGATTGTCTATAATTAATTATAAATCGATGGATACAAATTACCCAGTTAATTGACAAACTTAATTTAGATAAATTATATTAATATTATTTATTCCCAGATAACATTTTGTGTATTTGATAATATTTGATCAGGTTAAATACTCATTCGGTCAGGACCGAATTTGACCAGGCAATTGACCACTTGCCAACCGTAGTATATAATATGCTTACCTTAAAATGTCTATTAAATTATTATAAATTTTTTAACAGCAATATCGTTGCCAAAGAAAAATTTAACAATTTAGACGCACAAGTTTCATATTCTATATATATATTTTTTATTTTAACGAAAAATCGACTATTTTTACTCCTAAATAATGACTAAATATTAGAAATATGCCAAATTCGGCCCAAATGGGTTTCGGGTTGGGCCTATTTAAAAAATTTGATTGGGTTGAGCCCAGCCTAATATTTAAAATTCGACTGAGCTTAAAATTTTAATATTACATCATCTAATTTTTTGAAATAAATCGACATATTTTAAAATTTTTGTAAGAAATAAGGCAATATCTTTTATTTGTAGAATATTATTTTTACTATTAAAAAAATATATTGATTTTGATTTCGAACCGGGTTTTTTGGGATAAATAAAAAAATATTTTGTTTGGAATCGGGCATAGCCGGAAAAATTAAAATACTAAAACATATGAAACCGATAAAAATAGCTAACGCAATTAGAGTCTTCGTATAATGAAAAATTGCTTCAACAACAGAGAGAATGGGAAAAAAGAATGGACCGTTTGGAGGAAATTTACCGCAAGAAGCTAAATGATGGAACCCCTAAACACGTAAAATTATAATATAAAAATTGTTTGATTTATAGTGTTAAGTATCTACTCGTAATTTGCAGCTCTGATTATCAAATTTGTTTGATATTTCTGCTTACCTGTATTTTCATGCCATATAATTTATATACCAATATTTTAATCAAACTTGATTTATTTAAACAATCATTTCAGACACAAGAAGATTCAAGTGCTAAAAAAGTAGGTAGACAAAGTAGTTATTCCTCCGAAACTTCTAGTGATGACCTATCGAACACAAGATTTTTATCAAATTCTAAGTCGAATAGGTTTTTTATTCCTTTTCACCTCTCCCTTTCATTATTTGATTAACGTTGTTTATCTCTCTTTTTTTAGTATTTTATAAAATCGGGCATGACTAAAATACGCGTCCCCGGAAACTACGCGTCCCCGGTCATACAGGTTTAATTTATATAATATTAATAAAAAATCTTATTTAGCTTTATAAGATGAGTTAAAAAATGTTTTTTGCGCAGGGACGCGTAGTTTTTCATTTAAAAAAATAAAAGCAGATTCATATTTAGCTCATTAAATGGATACAGAAAATGTTTTTATTTATTTTAAAAAAAAGTGGTAACTTAGTATTATTTTTAAAATACTAATCATGAAAAAACTACCGGTCAAGTTACATTTTTTTAAAAAATAAAAGCAGATTCATATTTAGTTCATTAAATGGATACAGAAAATGTTTTTTTTTTATTTTTAAAAAAAGTGGTAACTTAGTAAAATTTTGAAAAAACACTTCTTTTTTTTCATTTTTTGACTAAAATACGCGTCCCCGGTCAAGATAGATTATTTTTATAAAAATGAATATAGAATCTTGTATAGTTTATCAAGGAGATTCAGAAAATGGTATTAATAAAGCCAGCTTTATACACATAATAATGGTGGTAAAATTTTCTCAAGCCTAGAAAGTGGTAGTTGGTATCAAAATTATCATAATAATACTAGTTAAAAAATATTGATTAAATTAAGTTAATTTAAATCAAATATATATGAAGAATTATAACAAAATATAAAGTTAAAGAGGGGCTGAATGGTAAGAACATTTGTCTTCGTATCGTTAGGTCCTAGGTTCGAATCCCGGAGTAGGAAAAAAAATATTTAAAATTTTTTTTTAACATTACACTATATAGTCTCCTTAAATTTTAAATACATTAAGGAAAGAAAACGTTCATTTCTTGATTACTACGATTATATAATATATCAAATGTAAATCGTTAATATTCAATCCGAAGATGACATATATCAATTTAATATAATTTATAAAAATATTCTAATTTTTTTTTCATTCTAAATTATCAGTAAAAAAAATAGGTAGGTTGAATAAATATATTTTATTGTTTTCGAACTATTTAAATAAATATATTAAGAAAAAATAATAATTAAAGATTGAATCGATACTTACCTGCGAACAAACTTATGTTTTTTTTATCATCCTCAGGTTATTATTGCTATAAAATACACAAATTTCTTATAACTTTAAGACACTACATCTACTTAATAAATTTTTTACTTTTGCACGGATATTATAAAATCTTAATATATAGGGAATAATGTTTTTCCTCCTTAGTTTTATTTTCAATAACTTTCATAAAATTTTAAAACTAAATTAATTTTTTAAATGGTCAATTAAAACAGACTAATTTAATTTCACCAAATTTATAAAACAAATAATTTTATTTATCAGATATATAAACCATTTATTATTTGAATTAAAATATCATTTATTAAATATATGATGATTTATATAACATATTATTATGGTATAATTTAAAAAAGATATTCTTTTAATAGTTGATAATAAAAAAAAAATAACTATAAGTAAAATAAACAATTATAATTACATTATATTGTATACATTATACATTAAAAAGTAAGCATAATATGGTTAAAAAAAATAAATATTTTTTTGTAAAATAGTATTGGTGTTTCATTCCTGGTTGTCTTTAAAGATGTTGTTAAAATTTTAATCGTTATCCAATGGATCATATGACTAAGGTTTCGTCTTACGAATGTTTGATAAGTGTATTATGTTTGATGACGATATCTGTTTTCTTGAATAATTATATAATTATTTTTAAAAATATTTATTCAATAAGCATGATTATTTTGATAATAATATTAAAATTTATAAATAACTATTTAACTTTGTATTAATTAAAGAAATTTTTTCTCTATGGTGGTTTTAGCCATAAAAAGTTAGAAATTATTTATTTACACATTTTTATGTTTCCGCTCTTAGCCACGTGGAGGCAACCATTTTTAAGAGCTTTTAGATCTTAGTTTAAAAAACAAGACCATGGATATATAGCGGGTTTAAAATTTTAAACCTAAAATATAACCATTATATTAGATTTAAAAAATTTAAAATTTGTTAATTAAAAAAAAAAATTACTCCCCATAATCTAATAACTCATCATCTGTATTATGATCATTATTAGACTTGGGATTAATATCTAATCTAAACATCCGACGCCAAGTCAACTCAGGGTTCTTGGTTACTTGGTGTCGGCGCCGTTACTGGAATAGGCATTGTGGGTATCGGCGCCGATACCGGGATTGGGATTATGGGAATCGGCGCCGATACATGAATTGGGATTATGGGAATTGGCGCCGTTACGGGGATGAGGATTATGGGAATCGGCGCCAATAAGCGAGAGGGCACGTGGAATTAGGCTCTCGGGCACGGCCCTCTTGACAAAATCGGATGATATGATCGCCACCGCATCTATAGCATCCAGATGTACGTCGAGAGCCTCTCGAGGAAGATCCTCTTCCTCCGTACCAATAGTTGGTACCATAGCCCCTCCTAGGGCTACGCGACCTGCGAGACCGTCTGTCTCTAACAGGCCTCACTATATTGAGCATTTGCCCATATAGTCGGGAAGCTTCCAGTCTAGCTTCCTCCAACAGGTTATCCAACTCGATCGATCAATCATGCGGATTGATATCGTTATTACAAAGTGACCGACCCGAAAAGTCGAACTCATCTAAAAATAATAAAATAAAGGGAAGATACAAATTAAATGTTTAAAAATTAATATCCATATGCTTTACTTTAATTTTTTTATATTGCGTTGGTTTTTTAGACCCTTTATATTTAACCAACTTTAATTGACCACATGTCGAAACTATATCATCATCATTTAAAATCCGTCCTTTCATCATTGCGATGAGACGATGACGACGTTCTTTATCACTTAATTTATCCCAATTTTTGCCCAAAATAAATTTCTTATAACTTTCAACAACAAACTGCCCGTTCAAGTTCTTTCTCTTGTACCCTATTCTTATTGGTTATTTTTTATATTAAAGTGTGTAATGGGGAGGTCTTTCTATCTACTAAAGACTTTAACATACTATTAAACGATTCACAATCTTTGTTCGACCATAAATTAATAATTATTTTTTTATGTAATGGCTTATAAATATAAGCAAATAAATTATCTTCTAATTTTTTATTTAAATAATTCAGAAATGAATTATATCTTTTTTCGACACAATATGATTTTAATTGCAAAATTCTATGATGAAACATTTCATCATTAATCAAAAATACAATTCCCTCTTTGCCAAAGATATTACGTAAAATTTTTTTGCGATGTTTTACATCAACTCCCTCTTTGTCTCTCAAATATTTAATAATATTTCTTCTCACATTAACATAATAAATGATCCCATGTTTTAAAATTATTTCTAATAGCAGCGATCTTCGTTAATTCCTCATCGCTATTAATTATTAGATTATCAACATTTATATCATGTGCGGTAAAGAGGTGCTTTAAATGAGAAAAGAAATAATTAAACGTCTCTAAATTAGATTTACCGTGCAAAAATATAGGACCCATATATATCGGATGGTTTCCTCTTTGCTTTCTACAAACTGCTTTATGTTTGTATATATTTGCCATAACAAATAATTCAGATAAATTGTAGGTTTTATCTACACTTAATATACAAGGTTTAAGTCTATGACACATATATTTTACTGCATGTGAGAAGAAATATGATTAAATATTTGAGAGACAAAGAAGGAGTTGATGTAAAACATCGCAAAAAAATTTTACGTAATATCTTTGGCAAAGAAGAATTGTATTTTCGATTAATGATGAAATGTTTCATCATAGAATTTTGCAATTAAAATCATATTGCGTCAATGAATTATTAAAATAAAAAATTAGAAGATAATTTATTTTCTTATATTTATAAGCCATTACATAAAAAATAATTATTAATTTATGGTCGAACAACGATTGTGAATCGTTTAATAGTATGTTAAAGTCTTTAGTAGATAGAAAGACCTCCCCATTACACACTTTAATAGAAAAATAACCAATAAGAATAGGGTACAAGAGAAAGAACTTGAACGGGCAGTTTGTTGTTGAAAGTTATAAGAAATTTATTTTGGGCAAAAATTGGGATAAATTAAGTGATAAAGAACGTCGTCATCGTCTCATCGCAATGATGAAAGGACGGATTTTAAATGATGATGATATAGTTTCGACATGTGGTCAATTAAAGTTGGTTAAATATAAAGGGTCTAAAAAACCAACGCAATATAAAAAAATTAAAGTAAAGCATATGGATATTAATTTTTAAACATTTAATTTGTATCTTCCCTTTATTTTATTATTTTTAGATGAGTTCGACTTTTCGGGTCGGTCACTTTGTAATAACGATATCAATCCGCATGATTGATCGATCGAGTTGGATAACCTGTTGGAGGAAGCTAGACTGGAAGCTTCCCGACTATATGGGCAAATGCTCAATATAGTGAGGCCTGTTAGAGACAGACGGTCTCGCAGGTCGCGTAGCCCTAGGAGGGGCTATGGTACCAACTATTGGTACGGAGTAAGAGGATCTTCCTCGAGAGGCTCTCGATGTACATCTGGATGCTATAGATGCGGTGGCGATCATATCGTCCGATTTTGTCAAGAGAGCCGTGCCCGAGAGCCTAATTCCACGGTGCCCTCTCGCGTATTGGCGCCGATTCCCATAATCCCTATCCCCGTATAGGCGCCTATACCCACAATGCCTATTCCCGTAACGGCGCCGACACCAAGTAACCAGGAACCCTGTGTTGACTTGGCGTCGGATGTTTAGATTAGATATTAATCCCAAGTCTAATAATGATCATCATACAGATGATGAGTTATTAGATTATGGGTAGTAATTTTTTTTTTTAATTAATAAATTTAAAATTTTTTAAATCTAATAATATAATGTCAGGTTTAAAATTTTAAACCCGCTAATATATCCATGGTCT